TCATTCGGTAAGGAAAAGTTTTACACTGTGTTTATAACATTTTTTATTTATTATCCGATTTTAATATTCGTTGGAAATGTTTTATTAATATTCACAGGTATATTTCCGAAAGTTACGAACGATCGAATTATTAGTAGTTCAAAACCAAGTGTTGCCGCAACAGAGAATTAAAATGGATCACATATTAAAAATTTTCGATTTTTTTGGCACACAACCATTGGCGCTAAAATCTAGTAAATTCGTTCTATCAAAATTGTTTATTCCTAATTTTATTGTCGATTTAACAGCGTGTACCGCTTTAGCTCTAACCGCATTGGTTTATTACACGAAATCGTTCGCAGATAACACACTGAAATTTGTGTCTTTGTATTATTGCCTCAACTTGTTTGTTTTAGTGGTAATGGCGATAAAAAATCGCAAAATAACACCAAGACTTTTTAGTATTCTTAAAAAACAAATTGATCCCCATAATACGGAAACGGCAAAAAAAATGAAGCGACACGAAACGTACCTCATCATAACAGCACTTTCGATCCCTTTCGTGACAATATATCAGTGCATCCAATTTTGGTATTTAGCGGTTGTTTGCCCTGATCCGTTATTACAGGACATAATCACAGTGAGCGATTGCATGGTATCGACAAAGGCTTATTTATTGGAATTGCAGTTCTATTGTGCACTTTTACTCTTAAAATCGTGCATAGAAACGTTGAATAAGAATATCAGAAATTTAAAAATAGATAACATAAATGGAAAGCATTTAGAAAATAAAATTGTTCTGTACAATGCTATTTATCTTAAAATTCATAAGATCGCTAAGCTTATACAGAACACGTTTAGCCTAGCCGTTATACCCATCTTCATCCTTATAATATTCGAAACAGCCATGGGTTTATTCCGTTTTATTCAATTTCATGCCAATTCAATGAGTGCGTTCGCAAAACTAGTTGCATTGCCAATTATTTTTTACAAATCGGTTTTTAATCTTTTGAAACTAGTCGGGTTAACGCATCTCTGCCAATGTTTAACAAATCAGGTGAGTAAGAATTACTTTTTTGGGGAATATACTTATAAATGCACCTTATAAAAATGACGTTAACATCAGTGATAAGCAAAATTGGTTCTGGTCTTGCAGTCTTGCGAAAATGCAAGAGCAAAATCAAGACTGTCTTTACATTAGCAAGACTAAAACCAAGACCGAATAGACAAGACTAAACAAAAAATTATTAATTCTGGTGAATTTATGAGTTAAACTATTAAAAGCAACATTAATATATTCTTTTCTTGGAACAAAACGTTTATAGTATTTGAAATTTTCAGTTTTCTTTACTAGATTTTAACACTAAACATAAAAAAAAGAAACTTTACCACTGTTTCGAAAAGGGGATCTACAAGAATGTCCTCGGAGTAAGTGTTCTTTATACATATGTCTGGATAACACTTGCTCAAAATAGAGAGACAAACTATTTTTTTTTCAATATTTTTTACTTTTTTTGAAGTACCTTGTACTACTATGTTTGCTAAAATATCAATTTATAAGTTGGAGGTAGGGTTAATTTATGCACTGAAAGAAGGGTAAGTTCTCGAGTTTTCATAATTATCGACACTATTTTTCTTAAAAGCCATGACAAGCGTGCATGTATGAAAGAAAATTTCTGTATTTAAGATAATTATTGTGTCGGTAAATAGAATAAATTTGTGCTTAGAACTATTAAAAAGAAAACGTAAGTATCAGATTAAATGAGCAAAATCAAGACCAAAACCGAGACTATATCAGTAAGACCAAGACCGAGACCGGAAGTATTTCAGCAAGACCAAGACCGAATAATCAACATTAAGACCAATACCAAGACTGGGACTTTCTTATTCCAAAATAATCTCAAATAATACGCCAAAATCGACCATTATAAACATTAACACCGAAAAGCATATCATCACGAAAGAGAGAAATGATCAACTTTGATGCATTAAATCATCATTAATTGAATTTAACATTTTGGGAAAATTACCCATGGTAATGGTCTTAGATTCTTTACAAAAATCAGTAGTCAAAACTTAAAGAGAGAGAGAGAGAGAGAGAATTCTTTGTAGATTTAATTGAGCTGTGTAAAATTGAGTAAATATTTTTATATTGCAGGGAAAGCTATCCAAAGAGTTAATGTTTCGATTAATTTTAAACAGACATGCTGAGGTAAGTATACAATTGTGGCGAGTTGAGAACTGAACATAGGGATATTCTATTGCATGTTTTTCATAAAGGTTAGCATTGTATTTGAAAAATTCGACGCGATATATGGAGTAATACAGTAATAAGTATAACTGAGAAGCCCAATAAATACAATTTAAAACTTTTAAGGTGAAGTTGCGTTTTATTCAAAATATTTTGAATTTGGTTAGTTTAAGACAGTTTCTACGAAAGTAGATAATATTTCAAATAGACGCGGTTGAAAAATATATTCTACACATTAAGCAAATTATGCGTTTTCCCTTGACCTAAGTAAAAGGAAAAATACTGTCAAAGGAATGTGTAATTTATATGTTCGTTAGATATTTTGCTTTACCAATAGAACCAGGGATGAATATTAGAAAATTTTAAATTATTCGTTGCGAATTAAATAATAACATTCGATTCGAAATTCTCATTACTTTTAAATAATACTAAAAAAAATTGATTTATGTCTTGTTCCCTTCAGAGAAACAAAAGAGGGCAATCATTTTCACAAGCGAAAAATAATTTTCTATATTCGATTCGAACACTGAAAAATATAGATAATAAGTATTGTTGTAGTTCTTTTTGTTGTCTTTGACAAAAGTCAGTAGGTATTTTGATATATTTTGAATTTGAATTTTTATGATAAAAAACCTTAAGAATTTATTTATTTCTAAAAAATATGTTGTTTAAATCCTGTTGTATTATATTTTCAGAGATTCCACAGGAATAATGACTTTCCAAATCGTAACATACATAGAAGCACTGTTCATCATCCTAGAATTTTCAGCCGGGTAATTATATTTTACGAGTACTGAAGTCATAAACATTTCCGCGTATATGTTCAACAAATTAGGTGTTTTTGCATACAAGAATAATAATTGAAGTATTTTTAAAATTGCAACCTAATTAACTACTATCTACTGGGTTAATTAGCGACTGTATAAATAGCGAAGGTAATAATTAGGGAAGTCCGGATCGCCGAATCATCGAGAAATGAGTAAGACAGGGTGGTGAGGCGGTTTGTCGCCTTCGCTCACTACTATGTTCTATGTTTCCCAAGTATGTATATAAAATAGGAAAATATATTAGTGAATTAGATTTTTAATACTTTGTTAACCATCGTTAAAATATTATTTGAGGTAATTATTTTTAATTAAATGAATACAACAAGTTAGAATGCGCCCCTCATTAAGTATTTCACTTTGTAACTTTTTTAAACCCTATATCATATTCGCTTTTATTTTCATAAAA